ATGCCGGTTGCAGTAAAATAAAAGTGATTTATAAAATTTGACAATATTAAATAATTCTCCAAAATAGAGCGGCATGTGTAAATAAGGAATTTCTTTTGAAAACAGGGTATTTAATAAGTTTATTATATAATTCTGATTGTGAGTTTTTAGGATAAAGCGTAATTCATTTAATCATTCTCAGCAGGCACTTATTAATGTGATCTCTTTGGGTTCGCAATTTAGTGAGATAAATCCATAGATTAAGAGCGATTAATCTATAAACAATTGTGATAAACCAAATGAAAGCATGTTATAGCAAATTACAAGGTAGTAGAATTATTCTTTATTATCTTGGATTAAATTTTAAAATTGGATTAAAATACTGATCATAAGTTTTCTTATACAACCATTGTTGTCGTTATTTTAATACCAGACTTATTTGCTGAAACCTGTCTTTATATTAGTTTTATATTTTGCCCCTAACAAAATACCTTGATTTTATACATAATTCTAGGCGCATCTGCCAGGTTATTTATCACAACGGAAATTATTTTGAATTATTTCTAATATTGTGATGTATTAGCTTCCTACGATTTTTATACAATAATTAAATTTGAAATGAATTTACTTTAATTCAGGACATAATGCAAATTCTAACGTTCTTTTATAACATCGTCAGCCCAACTGAAACCCAAATAAAGTATAAAAGTAGGTTGGCCTCGTTGCCGAAACTTGGTATGTTGTCAGGGGAACTTAGTAGAACGTACCTAGTCCGAAGTCGTCTGCCATAGTAGTTGCCCTGATTCCCAGCATCAGACAGTGGACTTGGTACATTTTCAAACGTTTCGCCGGCATCGAAGTCGGCATTAACATTAAATGAATAAGTATATTAGAATTTTACTCATTTATAAAATACTAATTAATTGAAGATGATTAATCTTTTATCAGACAACGGTTACTATAAATGTTCTCTCCAAGTTTCACTTTAAAACCGATGTATTCAAGCGTACAAGTATAATTTTCGACATTTAAAATGGCAAAAAATTGGGTTGACCTCGTTTTCGCAACTTGGTCTTATTGTCAGGGCGATTTAGTTAGACGCACCTTGTCCAAAGTCCTCTGGAATATTCGTCATTTTAATTCTCAACGTCAGACTGTCGACTTGGTGCACGGACTCTGAGGAGCTTCGCCAGCATGATAGTCGGCATCATCAGTGAGCCTTGCAATTCTCAACATTAAGCTACAACTCGTTAAAAGGGACAAATGAAGTCAATAACTTGTCCAAATTTCTTGCAAAACCTTTGGGCTATAACTCTTCCTTTTGTCATGACCACTCTCGTTTCGGCAGAAATTTGGTCAAGAGATTGACTTCACTTGTCTCTTTGTTGAGTTATAGCTTAGTGCTGAGAATGGCAAGACTCAATTTCGATGTTATGAATAAAAATTGGGTTTTAAAGAATTCCTTACTGACGTATTGTGATATGAGTTTCCATTATAACGAAAATAGTTGGATGGCAAGAATTAGTGATGTGGTATCATGGGAAACCGAAAAAGGATTAGCGCGTTGTGAAGACTGTTGTATTGTGCAAAGAAGTCCTCGGCTAATCGTGCTGCGACCCTTATGAAACTGTGCTAAGCAATCGTCTGTATTGTGACTGACATCATCAGAGCAAGAATCCATCTTTTCATAAATAGAGCAATTATATTCTAAACTAATTTTTGATGTGTTGGCTAGTATATTTAGTATAATGCATCATCTTATAATCTTTTGCAAATGACGCTATGTTATAAGTGTCTCTAACAATTTCTTTGGCATAATGAAATTTGGAGTGAATTTACTTTAAACCAGGACAGACTGCAATTTCGAAGACTCTTTTTAACATCGCCAGCCCAATTTAAATGTAAGCAAAGTATATTTTCTACATGACAACCGCACGACAGTAAAAGGGAAGTCTTGTCTTTAAAGACCACCTGGGTCTCTCCTGCACCTGACTGAGGTTAGGCGTGCGTATATACCTCATCATCGCCATCAACGGTGAAATTCAGTGGAAGCATGACGACCTCGCACAGATCGGACACGAGATCAATTCGAAGGCAACAGAAAGAAGGGCACCATATAGTGACAACACAAGGAAGCGGAAGATTAGGGAGGCCATTGACATTTTTTGAGGAGAAAAATCTAATGAAGAGGAAATTGTAAGAGGGCAAAATTACCGATAACTTGACCTATTGCCTATAAAAACTCGGAGAAAACAGGGATAGGACAAAACCAGCAAAAATGACGATTCTGGATTAAGGACCTATTGTAAACCGAAGGAAAATAGATCGCAAAGCAGAAAAAAGTGAGAAAACTTTGGAAAGAAAGTGAAGACATTCTCGCTGAGTGTAGTCTTTAGAAGAAACAACGGCTGAATCCCGTTGTACTGCAGCCTTTTGGCTAAACTTACGTTCATCTTATGGTGTACATCATCAAAGCTTAAACTAATTCTTACAAAAGTCTTGCGCTAATAGTTGGTCAAAAAGATTATGCGGGCTTTGCTTACATCATATAAATATACTTATAACGAAAATGAATAGGCGTAGATAGATATAGGATGTGAGATGTTTTCACTCTTTTTCGTTTAAGGTGATGAAGGAATGGTAGTCGAATTTTCTCACAATGATATCAGTAGAGGTGATTTTTCAATTGTATTTCACATGGCCTTGCTTTCCCAAAAGGTGTTCTCATCGAGGGTGGACTGCAGTTTCGACCTCGAATAGGTCTTATCAACACCCCCAGCCAGAGTCGAACCGTGAGAGTGCATATATTTGAACTTGACACGTTAACCACTCGGCCACATTGCCACGAGTGGCCTTGAGTCACAGGGCAGATGTGTATTTTAAGTAAGGCCAGTCCTTTAGCCATATCACATTCTTTGGGGGATTGCTGATACAGCAAACGTATTTTTTTGCTATTATAATAAACCACACTACTTATTTAACATATATAAGTAGAGTGTCAAAAATACCATTAAATCAGTTATGAGATGCATTCACCCTATTTCGTTTTAGGTGATAAAGGACATTATCATCAAGATTTACTTGTCAAGCTCAAATTCTGCACTGTCACGGTTCGACTCCTACGAGGGGTGTTGATAAGACTTATGCGATGTCGAAACTGTAGTGCACCC